GCCCCCCTAAACATAGGCCTTTTACGCTCCTATCGACACAATCTAGATCGTAGCACAGAAGGTGGGATTCAACCCTGCTTGTAGGGCCAAATATTATTGACTAGCGAAAACGCCTCAAGCCTCACAGCGGGTGCTTAGAGGACGTCACTGGTAGGTCCTACGTCTCTTCTGTCCATCTGTTTTCTCTGTCTTTCTGTTTTGCTTCTTCCAAGCACTATATGACCGCCAATGTATCGATGCATAGTATGCTTCTGTTTACTCAAACTGGCCTCACAGACATGCATGTACATGAGAAACCACATGACGCCGTACACCTCTGCTGTTTCTGTCGGTCTGTCTTGGTTACATGCACTACAGTAATTTGTCAATGGATGTGCTTCTCTTTACTCCAACTGTCCTCTTGGGTGGTTGGCGGGTGCTCCGGTGTGGCCTGCTCACTCTTTCCTATCGAATATCTATCGTCTGTATCTATTCTCCTTTTTGTGTTTGTTACTCTCTTGTAACATCTGTAATGTTCGGCACTTATATGACCGTACATGTATTGTGTTACAAGTGCCGTAAAACACCAACTGAAACAAACTGATCTTATAGACATGCACTGCCATGAAAAAAATACGTGGCACCGTTTCCAAGTAGCGTTGTGTCGCTTTGTCTGTCTATCATGCTTCTTCCATGAACTGTCAATACGACCGTAATTGTGTTGAAAGGCGTGCCTCTCTCCACTCAAACTGACCTCAAAGACCTGCACGGCCATGAGAAAAGACATGACGTTCTTCTTGAGCAGTGTGGCGTCCTTCTGTCATTTCTGTATATTTCCCATGCTTCTTCCATGGACTAAATCGGTGGCGCCGATAGCCAGGTGGTTAGGCTACAGGACCCGGAATCATGAAATTGCGGGTTCGGGAGTTCGAGCCTCAGCTCGGTCCGATGTTATGTCCTTTACATGAATTGGGATCATCTTTTGGGCGATGGAAGTTAAATTCAAAACCCCGCCATTAGTAATCTTAGTGTTAATAAGAGTGTTATTCCTATACATATACATATACCTATACCATTGTCATTATAATACGACCGTAATTGTGTTGATGAATGTGCCCCTCTCCTCTCAAACTGACCTCACAGACATGCACGGCTATGAGAAAAGACATGACGCCGTACCCGTGTAGCGTGGTGCCCAAGCCGGACATCCGACGTGTGGTGGCTGTGACCAAGATGGACAGTAACCAGGTGGACTACATTGACGCTGTCAGAGCCCTGGAACCCTTCAGTCTGAGCGACAAGATCCGCTCGCCCTTCCTCTGTCGTGTCTTACTCAGCTTCAGATCCAAGCAACCTTTCCAGATAGTAAGTGAAATGATAAAATGGTGAAAGGATGAAATATTGAAAAATTATGAGATGGTAAAGGTTTAACGCCCCTTTCAACACTAGTTAAGAGGCGGGAGTTCTAAGTTTAAGGTCCATCTCCTGAAGGGTCGAGCCAAATGGAGAATTAAGTTACATGCCTTTCCCAAAGACACAACGTCAGACTGAGCTGACGCTGGAACCCCGAACCAGCACTCTCACGTTACTGGTCCGGTCGCCAGGCCACAATGCCGACACCACCAGATGATAAGTGGACATATAAATATACATTACATAACGTGCAACGAGTCGAAAAGGTTCTGTAACGTGTTAACTCCTGTGCCAATGTATACAGCAGAACGAAATTCGGCTTACGAGATGTTTATTCAGTACATGCTTGTTTACTTTTGTTAGTTTGTTGTAGTTGTTTTGTTTGTTAGTTTTTTGTTATTGCATTTTTTTGTTTGTTGTTGTTTTGGGAGGTTTTTAATGGGTTGTTTTTTGTGTGGGTTTGGTTTTTTTTTTTTTTTGTGGGGTTTTTAAGGGGTTGTTTTTTGTTGGGTTTTTTTTTTTTTTTTTTTTTTTTTTTTTTTTATTATTTTTATTAGACATGGCTTGCTCATGTGTGAGGACTGTTGTATTATTTTAACTTATAAGGTTTTGGGGGGGGGGTGTCCCTGCCCAGTCCTATCAAATCACCCTTCTGTGTTTAGAAGACAAAAGAATGCGCAAATATTAAGCGATAATTAGTAGTATTAGCGGAAAGAACGCAACGGAAGAATAGGGATGACCTCATCTCTATTCTGGTCAGGGTGTTGGTTATAAAAGAATGAACTAATGTGACTAATGGTGTGAGACAAGAGAACAGTGGCCAATGACTTATGAACGGTGACACATACATAATGATCCGATGAGTAAGCAGCGATGAGTGAGTAATGGTGGATGTGACTCGTGGCTAGAGACGAGTGGCTAGTGATAGGATAGTGACAACGCATCATTTTTTTGAGGGACCACTGGTCAATAGGCAGGGATGGGAGAAAAAAACAATTCTTCCACAAAAGCAAATTCCACCACTACCCAATCTTTCCTCCCCCAGCCCTACTCTCGCCCTTTACAAAGACTACAGGCAAACATGTTTTGTTTGGGTTTTGTTTGTATTTGTTAGAGTTTGTAGTGAGGTGGGAGAGGGAAATGGAGCCCAGTACTTTCTTTTTCCTTTTTTTCTGTCCTCGTTATGTTAGCAACAATTAATAACATTGGCGGCGTCTGTGCACCTTTTATCAACAATTTTAAGCGGGAACAAAACGAAACTGAATTAGGTGAAAATGAACAAAACAAAGACAAAATGAAACATGGGAAGGGAAGTAGTGCAGACGAAACTTAAGAAAACTCATGAAGAAGGAAAAAAAGAAGGAAACAAATCCTGATCCTGACTGTGGAGTTCGACAGCCAGATACCGCTAGACACAGATGACGTCATTTGAAAGCGAAAAACGCAACTGGAGAGCTCGCTTCCGGTGGCCCTCCTGGCAGGATTGCAGGGGAGATAAGACGAAAGGGGAAAACATCTGCAAACGAGCGCTTGTAGATTTGTATCCCGCTGAGTTTGAGTGAGAGCTTGCTTACTTCTGGACATAGAACTTGGGAGAAAGAAAAGGGTGCCATCGTGTCTAACACTTCATTTGATAAATCAGTTTTTTCACTCTTTATCTCTGAAGGGGGTAAAATAAAAA